CAGGATAGAGGACCCACATGAAAACCGGCTAAGACTGATGCCCGGGGGGGGGGGGGGGGGGGGGGGGGGGGGGGGGGGGGGGGGAGGGTGGTTGAGTGGTTTGGCAGGTTTTTTTCTTGCCCTGCGTCTTTTCTTCCTTCTGCAATTTTTGTTTTTACCCAAAATAGAAGGGGGGGGGAAGGGGGGCCCTCCCCTAGATCCGCCACTGACTTCTGTGCAAAAATTACATTAACACTTACTAGTAAAATTTAGCTCTTTGGGTTTAAAATTAAGTCATATGTTGGCTTTCAAAGGGTCAAATTCCGATGATGGAATAGCTCACCGTGCAATGCCCTCTCAATATCCTGTTCTAGGACTGATATTTCTGTAGCTTGATCAGAGTGAATCGTTTGTGCTAATGAGACAAATGGTGTAAACAAAGATTCTCCTATAAGTTAGACTTCAGCAAGACTGTAGTTCAACGTTTGAATCAACGTCGGGCTAGAGTCGGGTAACAGGACAGGCTCAGTCACGCTACTCGACTTTGGCGCGACTTTGATTCAAACGTCGAGTTACACTTGTTTCGCGCTAAGTGGCACCTATGAGCCAACCGGCTCTCTTCGCTCTCTTCAGTCCGATGTAGCAGGATGATCAGTGATACAATAAGGTAGTTCTTTGGTAATGTTATTTTTGTCAGTTTTAATTGAAAATTGTTCATGGAAGAATAAGCACTTAATGACTGGCCCCGAAGGAAACAGTGAGTTTTGTTTCCCAGAGACCCTCAATGTTCCCCGAGGCGAATCCGAGGGGAACATTGAGGTCGAGGGGAAACAAAACTCACTGTTTCCCGCGGGACCAGTCATAAAGTGTTTTGTTATACCTCCCAACTCAAAAAATAGAAAAAAACAGACAAACAAACAAACCAAAAATGCAAGGAAATTGTTTGCTTGACTCCGGCTGGCTCACAAATTTGCCGCGGTTTTAAGGAGAACGACCTTATCACGTGCGAGTCGGTTCAAGTTGTTGTTTCCTTAGGGAGTTCGTGAGTTTTGTTCGCCCTAGGGAATTGGTTAGTTTTGACCCACGACACGTGTCACGTTCTCCTCCAATCGTTAAAGGTATTTGAGTTGGGAGGTATGTTGAAAAACTTCACTGGCAGATCCGCGGGTCATCCCGTACTTTTCCCGCCCTTTATACGCCGTAGACATTACCCAGAATGCTCTTGTGGGTAATCTTTGTTTTGACAAGCTTCAAGACCCTTCAAGATGGCGTTGTTCGAAGCTTGTGCGAAACAGTTTGTAAAAGATACAGGGCGATCTACGCTTTTTCCTGTTCTTGATTTAAACACTTCTGCGCGTTGTGATATTCTTTGTGTTGTGACGAAGAAGAGGAGTCGTTGGCTCTGGAAGTCAGACAAATATAAAACAACTCCTTTCTCCTTGAACGAGCTTTTGACAAAGGTAAGCCGAAGGAAATTTAAGCTTAATTAAGCTTGCAGTGAAGGAAAATCGCTAAAGGTTTTCGCATTAAAAGTGGCAATCTAAGCTTCACAGAAACTCCAGGCCATTCCTTGCAATTTCGGTTGAGCTTGGGGAGATCGTGGCGTTTTTACATGAATAGGTTTGTCACTTATTTCCCTTGTTTGGCTACGCTCTGCCCATAAGGGACGGACCATTAGAAAAGTGATGGTGTGTGGCGGGGAAGTGGGACTTTTTCAGCTTGCAGGAATTTTTTTCACGTCCACTGCCTCTGCAAGATTTTTTTTCGGGGTCAAGTCCCCTGCACAAATTTTTTCTTTGTTGGGGATGGGGAGATATTCTACTGTCGCAATCTTAATCTTGGCACTCGCCGCAATTCACTGAATTTCCTGGAACAGGTTTCAAACAAATTTGTGGTATTTTTCACACAGTCGTTTTGCTTTACTGTCTAAATTATACTCCGGGGGAAACATAACTAAGTATTAGACACATTTAAGTGCTATCGTCTAACTGATGAGGCTGCATTGCATTTTTTCTTTGATGTTTAGGGAAATATCAATTTTATTTATTCATTCCCCTTGTAATAAAATTCATTCTTGGCGTGCAGCGAATCAAGGTTTGAGCTAGAATTCTGCATCAATCCATTGCTCTTTACCATGTAAGGCGAAGTTCATTCTAGATTGCCCACATTGACCAAAGTGTAGGTTAGCGTTAATTAATTCGATTTTTTTGATCAATGTATAGGATCAAATTTATAGAGTTCCCGAAAATGCCCAAAAAAGAGCAAGGAAGAGAAAATCCTTTGTCTGAGGAAGGACGCAAGCGCATAGAGGACCTTAAAAAAGAATTAGAAGGAGAAATAAATGGCTTGCCAGAAGACGATCCGTCCAAGTGCGAGGGATTGATTCGAGAATTACACAGAAAGGTTGTGGCTGTTCCAAAAGCGGATGTAAAAGATCACCTTTTATCTAAGCTTAAAACTGTTTCCTCTCGTGGATTAAATAAAGACCTGAAGAACACGATGGAGGAGAATGGTTTAGGATTAGAAGGACTTGAACTTGTCCTGAAGTATCTGACAACCGAGGATGAACTTGCCCAGCATTTGTTCATGACACCCGAAGAAGTTGTTGTGAAGGAGGGCCTGGATGCTATACGAAGGAGACTAGGACCAAAACTTGAAGTACTTGGTGGCCTGCACTCCAAAGGCATTGATGTAAAACAAAATTGGGTCCACAATCTGGTGACAAAGGCTCCATGCCTTTGGTCGCTAGGTCGTCTCCCCGTTGCTGAACTAGAAGGGCTCTGCGAGGAAGCTAGTCATGGAGAAATGAAAGAGGTTCTTCGCCTCGCGAAAGTTGCCGAGTCGCGTGACGGACAGAGTTCTGATACTCCAAATGCCTCAGAGGAAGCTAGTGCAAAAGACCAAAGTAACAAAGCGATTGACAAAGAAAAGCTGAAGAAAGCTCGGGCTTTAATGAACGACGCAAAGGAAACTGCAAAAGGGGAGTCAGAAGCAGCAAAGAAGGCTGTCGAAGAAAAAATAGCTGAATTAGCAAAAACACTTGAGCTGCCACCTGATTGGAATAAACAAGATACCGGACAAAAACCTGATCAATTGTTGGAACATTTGGATGAAATAATTAATGAGTTTGACAACGCAATTGAAGTGAGTGAGTGTTACAAAAGCGATCTTGAAGTCGTGGAAAAAGCTAGCGGAGGCCGCGCACTCTGTGGCATCTATTTTTCTGAATATCTGCCGCCAAAAACATCTGAAAGACCTATTATCATGATGCCAGCAAAAGTAACACTCGCTAGCCCAAATAATTCTCAGCAGATTAGGTATCTAAAATTCTCTCAAAGTAGAGCGGCTTCAAACTATGTTCAGATAGTAAAATCTTCAAGTACCAACGTTGGTTTTAGCGTGGGTGGATTCTATAACCTTTTCGTTGGAGAGGTTAGTGGAAGCTGGGGCTCTAGCCACGAGGAGGAAGGAGCCAAATCGACAAAAGAAAATACTGACAGTGTCTCTGTGTTGCAATACATCTGGATTGCCACAAAGACATTCAAGATCGAGCAAGAGGAAATGAGGCTGTCTACGAGTGCAAGAAGAATGGCAAGGTCCATTACCAGGGATAAAGAATCTGAAAAACAAGAGGAAGCTGCTCGCCATTTCATGGAACGATACGGAAGTCACCTCCCGGCCGGGCTCCACACACTTGGTGGTGTGCTCTTTCGTATTGTAGATGCCGAAAGCAGCAGCGCACAAAAAACATCTAAATTAACAGAGAAAGCAGCGCAGCATCTTCAAGGTCAAATTTCGGTTGGATTCCTTGGAGGGGCATTTGGAATAGGAGCTAGCATCAACAGCCAGCACACTGAGAGTAGTGGCAAAGTTTCTGCCCAAGAAGAAGAGGCTGAAGATACTTCATATACCTACTCTTTTCAAGCCATGGGTCCGGCGGCAACAAGCCCGGCCACGTTCACTAAGTTGCTGGCTAACAACTCAACTTGGGCTTTAATTGATCGTGGGAGCAAGAATGCTTATATACCAGTTTGGGAACTGATGAGAGAACTTGGCAGGGATTTCGAAGAAGCAGCCCAAGTCCTGGAAAACACTTGGCGTAAAGACGAAAAGGAGAACAAGCAAAAAAGTCTCAGAGTAGGATACAAAGTAACAGAGATCATCAAGACTGAGCTGGAAAGACTGAGAGATCAGTGCAAAGAAAAGGTTTGATATATTTTTTCATTTTTTTTGTGTAGTCAATTTTGTTTAATTTTCCGCAGTATTGATTAAGGTATCAGTATAGCCCAAAATTGACCATTTTTCAAAACAAAATTGACTTTCGCTTTTTCCGAGATAGATCTTATTGCGATCTTTCAGAAAATGGATACTTTGCTGGAGTTTGCGGCAAACGTCCGACCGTAAAACGGTGCCAACGAATGATGGTCATTTGGGGTATACTGATACCTTAAATTCTTGCGTCAGCGTTTAAAGCAATAGTTTGTGGCTGCCAAAATGGTCTTGTAATTCAAGAATTTTCAAGGTCTAGGAAACTCTGGCAACTGAAGACTTACCAAGGTAAGAATAAAAAACAGGTTTGATTTGAAACAAAATGATTTTCCAGTCGTGTTAGGCGCCATTAAATATTTTGCCTCGTCAGGGTCCGTCGCGGCGTCTCCGATCCAAAAGACAAAAAATGGCATTTTTCGTGGCGCTGTAAACTATTTGATTCGAAACATCTAGTAATAAATCGTGCATCAATTTTAGTATAACAGATGTGAAAAATCCTACAGTGAGATGATAAATTTAACGTCTAGTGAATTAATAAATATGATACGGCACAAAAAGTGGCAAAGACTGATTGAAGGTAACTTCGTCTTGTTTCAGAAGCCCGATAAGAGTGCCTACGGGTATTGCCCGAAACACGCCGCGCAGTTAACATGCAAATTCAACACAATCAACTTGTCACTTGAAGATGCGTACAACAAAGCCATAGATATGATCATGGCGGATCCAAGGTACCGCATCTGCGACATCGAATTGTGTACTGAGGAGTCGTACTCATTACGGTGCTGGAAGGCCACGGAAGGTGAGCCAATGAGCTTCGAAGCTGTCACTGGTGGGCATGTTCTGTTCTATAGTGAAATACTCTTCAAGTGGAAGGGCGCAATTCCCGGCAAGGTGTAACTGGTAATCTAGAGTGAGTGGTAACCTTACCAATTAAAAAGTAAGAAAATCTTTCCTCATGGTTAAATGTCTTTCCTCATGGTTAAAATGAAAAGTTCTAGAATCTCTTTTAGTCGGCTTTAATTAAGCCAAAATATGTCGCATTATCAGCTCATAGTAGCATAGCATAGTAAAATCAAACAGTGTCCCTAGGCGATAGATTTACATCTTTCCAAACAGTTTGCTTTGAATTGGGTAAAGAATAGCATTGTAGCCTCACCAAACGTTTCTAAAAGAAACGTTAGGTAATACTACATTGGATAACAGAGCATGGAGTGTTCGGTTAACGCAACAACTGTCAGTGAGTTAACGAGAGAGTAAAGAGATGAAACTTGTGGCTATCTTCGGCTGATTTTAGTAGACACTATTATCGATAAAGGCTTTCTAAGAGACGACCATCTGTTGCCAACGTTTTTTCCGAACACGTCACGAAAAAACATGACTTCAGTGGGCATCAAAAGTTGCATGATTCATCACCACTCAATTTTCAGTTTAAATTGGCAGAACATTACGCAAACTTTCGTGTCCAAAGCACAACACAGTTGGTATTCTTTGTTCGAATTTTCAAAATGTTTTCCAAATTAATTTTTACAGAGGAAATTTCAAGCATAGATTTCCTTTGTCCAGGAACTCCTCGTTTGAAGTTTTGACCATAACGATCGACTTTTTTGAGAATTTGCGAAATCGCTACTAGGAGGTTGCCGCAAATTTCTCCTCAGTTTTGAAATGTATGATGACATTAAAACTAGTAGCAATCAAGTTGTTAGATGAGTTCTTTTCTGAAAAAATTGATGCTTTAACATATCCTAATTTTCATTTATCAAATTGGTGAATGTGTGTGAAAGAAAGAAAAGTAATTTGTGTTCGAGTGTATGTTGGCATTGTGATTCCGGTGTGTGATGAGTGTCATTCAATCATCTTGCAAGGTTACAACCCTGCAAAACCATTTGAGACAAGCCAGGTTGACAGCTGTATCACTATTACATGAATTTTGTCTTTACATTCCTCCAACCTACAAGCAATAGCTTCGAAGGAGGGAGATTGAAAATGATAGTTACTTGCTTATTGCTATAATGAGAGTATGTTTCTTTTCCAAGAGGCTATTTTGCGAGCAGTTGTAGTTTCCTGACATAGTACTCGTGTATTGAATAGTCTTGGTGCTCAAGTTGTGACGTAGATGCGAGCAACGTTTTAAGTGAAAAGGATAGTCGCCTTCTCGACTGAAAGATAGGGCATAGGTCGGAAGCCGACACATTCTACGCACATTTAGTAGGCTGCATTGGAGTTGGACTTCATCAGTCTTTAACAAGGACGAAGTGTGGTGTGAATCGTTTATTAGTTATAAACTCCAGTTAATCTTACTACATTTAGCTGTGGTGATCGAGTTTTGTGTGAATGTGTGAAATTTTACGGCGAATGTTCGTCTTATTATCAATAATATTTTTCTAATATTTACCCGCTCTTTCTAGACCTACAATCCAGGGGAAAAGCACTTGAAACACTACTTCAACATAATAAAATGTTCAAGAAGATTTCCCAAAGCAAGCATATAAGCATTTTGATCAGTTAATCGTTTTACTAATGTTTACGTTCAAATTAGAAAGGGAATGTGGTTGATGTTGTGTTATACACCAATACATTTTCCTTGACGTTTACTTGCGTATTGCGGAAGTGTCTTAAGAGCCTTCCCTAATTGTAAGTGTTTGTGTGTTAATATTTACTCATTTTACATATATATGGTTTGGCAGCTTCCATTCAAGACGGTTTGAAGAGTGTGAAACTTGAGCAAGGTTGCCAATTTTCCTTTCCATACAAATCAGCAATCAGCGAAAGAAAATTGCACCCGGGGGTGGGGATTCCCATATAAAAATGACAGGTTTGCTTGTCGGGAATTTTGAAAGGAGCCCCTTAGGGACCCTTAGAGGTACCAAGATCCTGTCTTGAAATTCTTTTCACCCCTAATAGGTACCAATTCTAGAACATCACTACTTTCATAGCGATAAAGGCGATTGCTTCTAATATCGTCTATTCGTAAAGTTGTTTTCAAAATATCTTCTGTCTTATTTCTCTGTACTCAATACTCAAAAAAGTACTTCGAAAGTTTCCGATGTGGATAAGAGGATCCAAAACCGCTTTTTTAACCCTAAAAAGTACGATGAGCACCCCCGCCCTTTTTTATATGTGAGAACACCACTCTCCCCGTAAACTGAACATTTTAAGAAAATAGTTTTAACGTTTGAAGCAAAGCTGTCGCACATCAGCCCAACAACTTAGTTGGGAAGCTTTGCACTTCAATTTGAGAGCGACAACATCAACCACGACTCAGAGATACTATGTTGGTTTTGATTTTACACATCTTCTCGATTAAGCTCCACCTCGAAATCAGACTAATGCGAAGCTGCTAAACCAGACTCAGTGACCCGCGTGAGTAACACCAGAAACTCATAACTGTAATGAAAAGTGTAACTGCTTCTCGTTATTACAGCGACAGGATATTCAAGTTATGGTTTGAATACAGAAAGACCAAAAATTGACTTCTCAATTCGGTAAGTTCGCCAGGTGGGAAATTCATGATACTAAAGAAGACTAAAGAGATCAAACGTTTATACCTTGCATATAGCAGCAATTGATAATCGCAAGAAGTTAATGTATGTTACAATTTTCAATCTCGTTATGAGTTGAAGTTTTAAAACATTATATATTTTAACGTGCCAATTTACTTCTAAAAAGAGTTTGAGTAGCAGATCCAAAGGTACTCTAATAGGGAGGGGTGAGGGTGGAGAACGAAGGAAAGATGTTTTATTTTTCTTACGTGATAACGAGGGCGGGATGCGGCGAAACCTTTTTGGGCCTTTCGCGCCCTATTTATTTAAACAAAAGGAACAGTCAGTCTTCCTTCTTATATTATGACAGAATAGCCCTGTAAAAGAGGGCTAAAGAGTCTGTACTGGGCCCTGCTCTGAATCTGCCACTGAGTTAATCTCTATAGGATAGTTCAGTAAAGAGATCAGTAAAATTTTCTTGCGTATGCAGTTATTTCTTACAAGGTTCCCTAGCAGTGTAAATTTTGGCGATTTCAAATTAAGAGACGAGGTTTAAATTAGTGGAAGGGACCAATGAACACTGCAGACAGCTGATTTTACTACTTAAGTGACACTTTTTTGGACAAACTTCTTTAAAAATTGATGTAATGCATGTCATGTTAAGGGACATTATCATGAACGTGACATAAAAGTTAAAATCTAACAGGGATGTTTTCATTTATGGAATCCGAAATATAATGTTTTTTGACTGTTAAAAATTGCTATATAATTGCGCTGAAGCTTTTAAATGAGTTATCATCTGTCACGCATGCACAAGATTGTGTCGTTATATTGCCGCTCAGACTTTTTCAGATTCTATGATTCGGTCTTGGAAAATATCGCTAACACTGACTTATTTCAATTTGCAAGAATTTAAGAATTTACTTTAAGTCTTCATTCTGGTGCCTTTCTCGCAGCAATTTGTGTAGGAGTGAAGGTACTTGGCCATAATTTTACCAAATATGCAACAAAATCGCGGTGATAGTGTCCCTATAAGCCCTGTAAAATAATTTGCAGTCTCTTTAAACTTGCGACCATGCAACGTTAAATTTTTTTTGGAGTTTTTCTCAGATGTAATCAAGGATCGGTAGACAATAAATTAACTGAGTGAATTATATTGTTTGAGTCTGGATGTTTTGTTTTTACTACAATGCTGATTTTTGTCTTCACACGTTCGACGAAGGGGTCGTTTTCCAACATGGCGAACGAGACGCCGTCTTGGTTAAATTCTATTCTTAGAGGCATGGCACCCTGACGGGGGAGGGGATACTTGGCTCAATTTTGGCTGGGCGTGGGCCGCTGGCATGTCGGAACCCCTATCCCACTATGGTCTATTTTGTGGCCAATTATAGACCTCAACTTAGTCACTTTTGGGCAAATGTAATTTTCGCGATCCCATCTTTACTCACTTTCTGCTTATGCATCTAACTTTTAAAGCCTTTTAACTAGGTAGTCCTAAACTGAAGTGACACATTTCTTTAACTGAATGTAGAACGGTTACATTTTTTTCACCGCGAATCTTCCCATTTTTAAATCTCTACTCGCCAAAACTTCCTTACCCCCAAAATCCCAAAAATGTGCGACCCATCCTAGTACAAATGATGCAAGGGACTGCAAACGAAAAATGCTGCAGGATCTGTGATACATCTGATCAGCCAAAAATAGAAATAAAACAATGAAGCAAAGCTGAACCTCAAGCGGGTTGCTCTATTTTTTTTTTTTTTTTTTTTNTTCCCATTTTTAAATCTCTACTCGCCAAAACTTCCTTACCCCCAAAATCCCAAAAATGTGCGACCCATCCTAGTACAAATGATGCAAGGGACTGCAAACGAAAAATTACGTAGGATCTGTGAAAGATCTGATCAGCCAAAAATAGAAATAAGACATTGTTCTAAAGCTGAACCTCAAGCATTCTGTTCTATTTTTTTTTTTTTTTTTTTTTCTAGCTTGTGCTGACGAGACCCAGCGAGGTTGAAACAGTTGTCCATGTTTGCAAATCTTGGCTTTCAGTTTGGACGCGTGTCCATGTGGCGTTAAGTTGTCTACATAGTAACAAGCCTTGCTTCATTGTTACCATTCTAGTAATGCAACCCCATTATAGTCAATCCAGTCGTGAAAATGTGACCTCATCCAGCGGCACATCCCCATTAGTGCCTAGTACCAGGAAGTACTCCCTCCCCAANCCCCCCCCGGGCATGGCACCATTGGCTATTTGCCTGCGATAGCATTCACGCTTTCCTTTTTCATTAGTGCGACGCAAATTCCAGGGGAAAAGCGATTGTAAGCCCTTTAATTAATGCATTTTTTAACATTTAGGGAAAGTAGAGAATACAACACATCAAGAACAATGCAGTGCAACAGGAAAAGAGTTACCGCTGAAAATTAAACACCCAATAACGCTATAACGAAACAATGACTGTTCTTTGTTTATATCTTTAAATTCTTGCACCCCTGATTTTCACTATGTATTTTTTCACTATAAAAAGGACGTAGCGATAATCAACGGGCAGACCAATCATTTTTCCATTGTTCCATTACACTAGCACAAGAGAAAGGAAATTTTTTCATTATTTGCGCAAAAAGAGTGAACTCATTCTTATACCTATGTGCTAGACGGTACATGTGTGGAGTATCCTTATAAACTTTGTATAAAAGTTACCGAAGCTGTTCAGGACTGTCCTCAATTACAATGTAGCGGAGTTTTTCTAGGGTCAAAATTTAAATTTGCAATTTTACAGCATATCATTGAACGAATATTGACAAGAGAAATCGCATGTTCATTTTCTTGCAATTCAATCGCGTTTTTAGACAAAATTACTTTTACTGGGCCACGATTAGAAACATGTGCGTGTAGGTGAATGTCTAATGGCGCATTAGACGTTGGAATTCTGTTCAATAGTTATTTAGGCCCCGTACACACTACGCCGGAGAAATTTGAAAACGTAGCTTTATTTCTACGATTAGCACTACCGTCCAACCTAATCCGTCACGAAAACGGAGAAAACGTTCTTTAAACCGGAGGAATTTGCAAACGCCGGCTTTGCGTTTTATTGTGGACGGAAAACATTTTGAAAACGGAGCTTTTTGAAAACGATGGCTTCACGATAATCATATGTCTTCCCTGTTCGAATGTTTTACGCAAACAAAACTCCAAAATGACCGGTGATTGCTGCGTCGGCCCCGTAGAACATCGAATGACCCAGTGTCACGACCAAGTTCTGACAAAGACACTTAACAGTTGCCAGGACAGTTGCTTTCAGGCGTTGCACCTACAGACTGGTTAATTGACTACTGTTGCGATATTTTGCAGTAATACTGTCGCCGCTGCTGTCGTATGTGCTTAAGGGCCTCTACAGTCTCGCGCGGACTCGGGGGGGGGGGGGTACTCCCTTACATGGGCTACATAGGTATGTGCGGCCCCAAAGGGTGGGGTTTTCAACCGTTTAAGTCATAAATAGGGTATCAATTTTGGCCATTTTGGTCTTAATTAGGGTATGGTTTTAGCACTGTAGTCTTGAATTGGGTATGTTTCTTAGAAGAAGCTACTTTTTCATCATTATCAATAAGACCGTCAATAAAAGCCCTTCATAACTCATGTTTAGGGCAACTGTGCCAGCCGCAGCGGTCATAAATAGGCTATCGAATTTTTGGCCATAAATAGGGTAGCAAAAATCGCAGATTTTGGTCATAAATAGAGTAATGGTTTTGGGAAGTGGGCCGCACACTCCCATCCAATTTTTCTGTTAGTACCCCCCTCCCGCCCACGGGCGCGCGGACGTCGTCCTCACGCGTTATTTTTATCCTTGCGGCTGCCACACGAGCTTCTAGTAAGATTAAAATTAGTTGCATGATTCTACTAGTATACAATCAGTGGCTAATATTGGGGCGTACGCTATTTACTTAACCTTCGGTCTAATATCTTTGATAACCTAAAAAATAATGAAGTTGCATGTGGAAACTAGACCAATCACTCACTTCGTTTCACATCAACGCGTCGAGTCACTGACATTTTCTTTAAAATCTATATCAGCAGTTGTTCATTTGCAGTCAGTCACCTTCCTGTCAAAGAAAGAACGGTAACCGTTTCTGATCGCAGCGCGGTTGGTCAATTTGGTGTAAAAATGTGAATGCTCAGCTTGGTGCTAAAATGCGTCAATAAAAAGTTTCGATCAAACAAAATAAGAAGTGATCATTGTGTTTGAAGTAAAAGCGCGCGACGTTTCGACCGAACTTCGGCCATTATCAAGCTTAAAAATGAAGATAAACATTTTGCATAAGTATAAATGTAAAACAAAGAAGTAAAAATATGACATGTAAAAAAGGGTGTTAAGAACAATAAAATGCATGCAAGAATTTCGCACGAATTGAGTATGACTGTACACTGAGACTTGGTCTCAGTTCAATAATAAAAAGCATTTCTTAAATGAGACATTCAAACTTGTTCTTGTACTTTTTTAAGATGGTAAAATTCTTGGTAAGATCCTTAGAACCTTGTGAATGTTTCACACGAAAATGTCTTCCAATGGAGGAAGACGCATTCTTAATTGTGTTCGTATACGTGTTGGTGCAAATGCCGCCGCGTTCAATCAACATAACCTATCAACAATCACACAGGTCACATTTAAATTGGTAAACAAGGGATTGTTGTTTAACAATAGACGGCTTGACTTCCCGCGGTTTCAGGTGTTGTTTGATCTTGTGACTAACAAACGTGGGCTGGACGGTCACATGACGGTCATGTTGCTAATGATAAGTGCCAATGGGCAATGGAAAGTACCGTTTCCGCAGCTGGTGAGTTCATAACCAACCCAGAAAATTCAAAAAGAACTAGTTTCATGATCGAGGAGCTGTAATATTGTGTTGTTTAAGGTCTTGAGGGAGCCATCATTCAAGCTTTCCTATTGCTGATTGAGCGTGACCAAAAGCAAAACAGCATAATCGTTTTGTTTCTTACAGAGGGATAAAACTGCCCTAATGGCCGATGGGTAGACCAGCTGTGTAAATTTTCTTGCATTGGAAATGCTTTTAATTTCTCAATATTGCCGAAAATGTACAGTTTTGCCATTTTGCTGACTTGATCTCCTAATTCCATATATCGCTTATTATTTCATGACGTCATCATTTAAGCAGGTTAATACGGAATTATCAAGATCTACACCCATATTATCGTGCCTGTGTTTGTGTTATTTGATTTTCCCTGAGTATTATATGTCAAATAATTCACATTAGAACAAAAGAATCAGGGTCAAACAAGAAGCTAAACCGCGTATAGCCAACAACCGCCTTAGAGTCCGGTCTGGCATGGCCGTCGTTTCAGTGTTTTGGAACACCTGTGGCTGCCGTGATCGCTTGATTCTTAGATTCGAGCAGTGGAGCACTTTTTCACGTACACACAGCTTGTTGAGCAGCTCATTTCACACATCTTTAAGATAATTTCCAGCAATCCAAGAAATATCCACTCCCGCCACTCCCGCCATTTTCAGGAGCTCGTTTGCGGCATAGACAAAGTTTTGGAGGCCATTGCAGTGGAATCGCTCTTTGTATGGCTTCTGACTCTTGTCATGGTACACAAAGAACAGGACGTTGTCCTTTGTTCCGTGCTGGAATCTGAAACCTGTAGTAAAATTCTGCTTTATCTCATATCGTTAAGCTGCATTAGTCTAGCTGAAAAACGATTTTTAATCCCGAAAAAAAAATATTATTTAGAGAGGGATTCAAAGACTCTTTAAACAAGGAATGATCATTTTTCAGACATTACAAGCACCATGACAACGGTGTCAATGGCGGATCCATACCTTGAGTTAATGGGAACGGGGGTGGGGGTTAACCCAAAATAATGGGGGGCGGCCCCTAGATCCGCTACTGGGTATGATCTTTTAAGGAAACACCCTTAATTTTAGCTTTGGATGCTTCTAACTCAAAAACGAGCTCAGTAACTCCCCCTTTATTATTGAAGTAATGAACATCTGAAGATTCAACTTTTCACAAAGTTTAACAAAAATTATGGGAGCGGATTCAGAGCCTCGTAAATTTTCGAAAAATTAATCTTTGAACCCCCTTCTAACTAATACTGTATTTAAGGTTGAGACACATTACTAACATTCTTGAATATCTTGTGGTATAGAGCGTTTTCCCTCACGTGACCAGCAGTCATACAAATTTTGCTGGAACAAAAGAAAAGGTTTACGTAAGAACAGAGTTCAACTCCCACAGGATTGGTTTGGAACACCAACATGGCCGCCGTTTCAGTGTTTTGGTACACCATGTGAAAATGCCCTGTATTCTCAGATTCGAGATTCCAGTTCTCAAGGTGAAACACGTTTACATGCATGCACTCGTTAATGAACAGCTCATCTCACACATCTTTCAGATAGTTTCCAGCAATCCAAGAAATATCCATTCCCGCCATTTTCAGGAGTTCGTTTGCAGCATAGACAAACTTTTGGAGGCCATTGCACCGGAATCGCTCTTGGTATGGCTTCTGGCTCTTGTCATGGTACACAAAGAACAGGACATCATCCTGTACTCCGTACTGGAATCTGAAATCTATGGTGAAATTCTGCTTTATTTCAAATCCCTCTTGGATATAGATTGGAACACTGTATCCGTTGCGAGTAGCGTATTCACACAGCACGTACGTCCGACTTCTGTCTCCACCGAAACCAGCAATTGAGCCCTGCTTCCAATGAATGGTGAGGGTTTCTATCTTTTCTCTGAGTGCTAGTGTTTCGCCTTTCAGAGATCCCACTTCAACCAGGTTCTAAAGTGATACAACAAAGCAATAAAATGTGATATTTAACAATAATAGTACTAAGACAATGGGATTATTCAGAATACATGCAATAAGGGTGAGATTGCCTATCCTGTGACGGAAACCGCTATGTTACTCAATTTCGACTACCCCTGTAATCGATGTAATTTTCAGTTTAGTTACATCTGAAAGAAAGTTGAAAATGGTAGATAGGTAAATTTTGACTAAACATGTTGGTATTCTGTATATCGCAATACGGAGGTAAAGGGAAGAGTTAATTTCAACTGCAAACCCAGCATAAAACTTACAAATAAACTCAAGTTCTACCTGTACATATAGGTTCTTGTTGTTGAATTAAGAGAAGTCCAAAAAAACAAACGTAGACTTAATACACTGTTAGTGTTCGGGTCGAAAGAATTTCGTTTGGTGAGTCAAAGAAAACAAAACACATCAGCGATAACTGAATGATAATCAATACAATGGTATGATTAATTGCCAACTTTTAATTAGTCTCTTAAGCGGAAAAACTATTACCGACCATTGAGCTTGCTGAAATATTCATGCGTTTGAACAAACATGTATAAGCCATAGCTGAGTAAAGTAATAGTGTAATATATCGTAAACATTGCCTTTGACCGAGTTAAGACTGGTAGGGACAGGGGGGGGGGGNGGGAAGCGGGGGCGAGGGTAGTTAACCAGTGAGACAATTATCTCTGATTTCTATTTATATTCGTGATTCTAGTCAGTAATAATTTAAACTTCCCAAAAACTTAACGCTCACTTCCCTATCATTTTTATCTGACGTGTTTTAAAGAAGCGACCGTTTTCTACGTAACTGTTTGCTGCTCGATCGTACTTAAATATATAGATACATCGCGATTTGTTAGAAACGAAATAACAGCTGGTTTGATTTGTGCAAATAATAACGCAGAAAGATCTTCTCTTGAAATATCAACCATTTTATAGGCTACAGGCTACGCGTTTACCTTCGTTGTGTTCTCGTAGACCCAGAGGCAGATGATCTAAGCGAGTGAACTTAATACGACAGGATACGACGCGACCGAAAGTTGAACAAGTGAACGAGACCACTTGGTGCAAAACGTCTAATGACACGTCTTCCGCATTCAACAACGCACCGCACCACGGGTTTATGAATCAATGGACCTTTTGAAACAGGCCATTAACCATACAATGGAGCACAATTTAAAGGGGCCATTGTGGTTGAGGTACTCAATAGGTAAGATAGGTAAACAATAAAGGGATCAGTAATACTTACTAAGGTGCCAATAGAGGTAAACAACTCAGTATAAGCGGGCAACAAAGGTACACAATTAAGGGTACACAATCAGGGATTTTAAACAACGACACATAAATTAGAACAATTTGAATTACGCTTGTACATTCAGTTGAATGAATAAAGTGTATCGCCAGAAGAGGTATTTTACTAATAAACACTAGCAATTTTGCAACTCATTAGTTCATACATTATATATTATCAAAATTTACTTCAACTGATAGCAGAAGTCCAGGGCCAGAATCGCAAAACAACAATATGGCATTCTAAATCCATGATCAAAAGTATTTTGGATTGCGTTGTTTCTAGCACTAGGGAGTTTAAGGTCCCGCCGTTCACACTACGCCGGAGAAATTTGAAAACGCAGCTTCACTGCTATACAGTTAGGCCTTCCGTCCACTCTAATCCGTCACGAAAACGGAGCTTTTCGGAAAACGCTCTTGTAACCGTAGGAATTTGAAAACGCCAGCTTTGCGTTTTGGTGTGGACAGAAAACTTTTTTAAAACGAAGCTTTTCGTAAACGATGACGTTACGATAACCATTATATTTCCCTCGCCGAGATTTACTCGAACACATATCCAAAATGACCAGTGATTGTTGCGTTTTCAGATTCCTCCGGTGTAGTGTGGGCGGGGCCTAAGTGACGGTCCGTTGTTTTTGTCCTAACTGAATTTTTTCGAGAAGCCGTAATCTCCGTCATAACTACTTGTGTTCTAATAAAAGCTCATTCTGGGCATAGACGGCCTCGCCGAAGTACTTCTCCTGGTTATGGACTCCTGCTTAATTGTCATGGCACAATCAAATGCCAAGGGCATTTATTGAAGTATTATATCAATTTAATTATCAATATGCTCCTTATATACTTTATATTAAAGAATAGTCAAATTTAATTTCTTTTCATATGGTGTATGACATTTGCAGACTGCAGATTGCAGGCTGCCATACTGAAAACTGCAGACTTTTTACTTATATCGCATTCAGTCCCATT